CGCAGCCTCTTGATTTATACTTCTATGCTGCGTTGGTCTGCCCTGTATCCCTTGGCCCACGATGTGCACAGTCCCAGACGGTACTTGCTTGACTGGACCGGACTGGGTTACTGGGACTGCTGACTGTGCTAGGTGGACTACCACCACTTGACCACTTGCCTCTGCTGAACGCAGGCTAACTCCGAAAGGCCACTTCTAGAACTCTCTAACTTGGCCTTTCGGTACTGTAGCAGCTACGACTTCGCCCTTTCAGGTAAGTAGCAGCTACGACCTTGACCCTTCAGACATCCTACAACTACGACTTCGGAACTGTCTAGACTCCTACACTACAGGTCTACAGTTCAATTCCCGTCTACCCTGTGACCTACGAAAATCTACCTACCACTGGCGTTCCTACAGGTCGCGGGTTCAAGTCTACGGTTTAACACTGATACTGTACACAGGTAAGACGGGGAACTAGGGATCGAGCCCTGGGATCTGCATTCGCTACTGCGAACTGGTGAATACCGTTTCAAAAGAGTGCAAAGAGAGGTTTGAGGCTTTCAGTTTTGAGCGTAGTAGGAATGCACAGGTGATCTATCTAACCCCTCTTTGCAGTGTTTGCACTCTTTTACTTATTTATTATTAATAAGTTATGACTCATGAGCCTAGTCAGAAAAGTAAACGGGATTTACTACTACTGTCTTTGGCCGTATAGAAAGCCCAGTCCTTGTAGTAGCTGTATTAAATTTTGGGACAAATCTAAAATCGAATCGTCTTTTAGATTTATCACTGACTATATCAAGCATGGCAACCGCGGACCCGGCCCCGGCCATGTCTGGACCAAGGCCCCGACATTTGCCTGGACTGGTCCAGACATCCGGTAATCCGGACAGGCACCGGACAACCGGACAGGACCGGACCCGGACCGTCCGGACTGGTACACCAGACACAAAAAATGTCCGGACCGAAAAAAATAAATAAATAAATAAAGCCCAATTAGTAATAAGCAGTACCAACCACAGCTTACTGTCTTTCACTATTGACAACTTGACAGCTCAATAGAGTCAAATACTATCACAGACATTCACAAAGGTTCACACAACACTAGAAAGTTGAAACCAGTTCTCAACAGACCAATCCCACGTTACTTCAGAAAAGACTCAAAAGAGTGCATTGTTAAAAAAAAAAAAAAAAAAAAAAAAAGAGTGCGAAAATCAGGAAAAAACAGAACTTTGAACTTTGAAGTTAGACTTTCTAATACTTCATATTCATATGGAAAATTGAAAATTTAAACTGTTAAGTTATTCAGATCTGCGAAAGAACAGATCTGAGATCTGGTCAGGACCAGATCTAAGGCGGAATCTCAGATCTGACCAAAATCATTTCTCTCTCTCTCTCTCTCTCTCTCTCTCTCTCTCTCTCTCTCTCTCTCTCTCTCTCTCTCTCTC